AAGTGGGTGATCCCCAGGAAGCTGTCTCTTCTAGGGACTTTCAAAGAGGAAAACCATGTGGTGAGGTGATTCTAAGGTGGTAGAGAACATGGGAACTCACTTAGGTAGGCCTGAGGTCAGGACCAAACTATGGTCAACCAATGAGATTAGAAGCACCATTGCTCAGGTAAAAATCCAGTACCAAATGAGGAAGCAAGTCAAGTAGCAAGTGGGACAGGGTCTCTTCCTGTTGGGGGTTGGGCTAGTGACTCATTTAGGCTCTTTCAAGGTGATTGATACCTATTTAGAAGATCAATCCCTGATGCCCATTCTAGGGAAGTATGTAACTATGTTTGTTTAGACTTTTATCTTGAGGTCTGTCCCTTACAGGACTCTCTTCCAAGTTGCAAAGTCACCTTGTCTTCTTTCTTGTCCTTGAGGGCCTGGGCAATGCTTAATTTGAACACTATCATTTTTGTCTATCTCTCTACCTTCAGTGTACATTCTGATCTGTACCGGCAGATGTGGAGGACAGGGCCTATGGCTGTGACTGTTCTGCAGGAAAGCCATTTCAACCTCGCATGTCACCCGGTGGTATACCCCTATCTGTTGTATGTTATGAGTCAGCGCCAAAAGACCTGATGAATGTAGCTTTAGAGGTCTCACTGAGATTAGTGAGCCCAGAGCCTCAGAAGCATCTCACATTTGTTGAGGGCTAAAGGCAGGCTAAGGAATGTTCATAATTACTTAAGTGAACACAAACTACACTCTATCAACTTCTACCATTTGCCTAACACTAGGTTTACACAAATGCTGGCTGATAACATCCCAAGCAAGGGATCAAAGGACAGGGCGCCAGCAGAAGCTGTTATCTGCAGCCTTGAATCCCAGCTTTTGGGAATTTACAAGTGAGAGACAGCAGCTCTCCTTGGGCTCTCTCTATTGCTCTCTGCTCCCTTGGGACATTAGGCTTTGTCTCATATCTATATTTCTATGCCTGTCATAATACTACTGTTAAGTTTATTTTATTTTATTTTGCTTTCAAGTTTAGGCGAGGTTAATTGCTCTTCCAACTGTAACTTAGCTCGGTCGTAACATCAAGTACTTTTCCACTGTTACTTGACTACATACAGCTAGCCTAACATCTTCTGAGGAGCTCCCAAAGTTCTTAGGTTACCACCTTCAATTGACTCCTGGAAACACTGGAAGGCTACTTTGGCGCCTTTATCCTAGAAATAGTCAAATCTTGGTAAATTTGAGAAGACAGAATTAAATAAAAGCTAGTGTAATGGCAAGTTTCAGGAGGCCAGTCACAAAATAAAAATCTAGGACATATTATCCGCTACCCCGCCCCCCTTTTTTGTTCACTACTAGGGGATGAGCCCAGGGTCACTGCACTGAGCTCTAGCCCTGGCCTGTCTTGCTAAGGGCCACTGTTCACTTTGCTGCTAATGTCTTCCAAAGTGAGGCCTAAAAATGAGTCATACAAGCAGGGTGTGGTGACACACTTATAATCCCAGCACTCAAGGTGTCTTGAGTTCAAGGCCAGTCTGGGCTACACAGAAAAACCCTGTCTCAAAAATAAAAATAAATCATACTAATAACATATTGCACCTACAGAAAGCCTACTACATTTTGAAGTTAATACAAGGAATAAACAGTTTCAACAAAGGACTCAACTAAAGGTTACTGTCTTGGAAAAACTATGTTAAAGGCCCTGGCCAGGGTCCCATCCCTGGTCTGCTGCGCTGGCCCAACCCGGGGGTGCACTGAGACAGCCAATGAGACTGGGTGTGGTGACGCACACCTGTAAGCCCAGCTCTTGGGAGGCTGAACACAGGCAGATCACTATGAGTCCAATCTATGTAGTGAGACCCTGTACACCCTGTACTAAAAATCCCCCCCCACAAAATGTCACACTAAAGCTACTTTTTTTTTTTTTTTCTTCTGGTGCCAGGGATTGGACTCAGGACCTTGCACTTTCCAGGCAGGCTCTTGTGCTGCTGAACTACCTCCCTGGCCCACTCTACCAATTCTATGACTACTAATTATTTTGTCAAACTTATATGATGCTGTCTGTAACAGCCAATGAAACTCAGACACTGACTGCCAAAAACTTTCCACTCGTGTAACATTAGCACCAATAACCTGAGTTATCTTCACAGCTTTCTAGAGTATAAAGAACCTCCCTTTATGTCTTTAAAATTATTTTAAAGCGATTTCACAAGTACTTATTTTCCTTCCTTGATCCAAGTGAGATTTTTATTTAAAAAAATTTTTTTTATCTGTATATAACGGTCAACTGTTGTGTGAGGGGGTCATGACCAAAGCCCAGTATCTTCAAGCTAACTTGTTTTCTAATTTTTATTATTTATTTATTTATTTTGGCGGAACCGGAGATTGAACTCAGGCCCTTGTGCTTGTCAGGCAAGCACTTATTCCACTGAGCTATCTCCCTGGCCCCTAATATTTATTTATTTATTTATTTATTTATTTATTTATTTAGCGGAACTGGGAATTAAACTCAGGCCCTTGCACTTGCCAGGGAAGCGCTTATTCCACTGAGCCATCTCCCTGGTCCACAGACCCTAATTTTTAAATCACTACGCATACTATTATTTCAAAACTTTATCTATACATGACATAAAAGGGCCCAAAGCTAAATTAAAAATAATGTATATCATTACCTTATGAACAACATATAGTAAATCGCTATCATTGGGTAACAAATGTCTACATGCAATGAAAACATTAAAACAAGCATTTTCCAGCCACCATTACTAAATGTCTCCTAAACTCCCTCTTTTTTTTTTTTTTTTTTTTGTGGAACGGGGGATTGAACTCAGGCCCTTGTACTTGCCAGGCAAGCACTTATTCTACTGAGTCATCTCCCCAGCCCCTAAACTCCCCTTAAACAGAGTAAATCAGAACAGAGTAGAAAAATATAAAAAATTCATACCAGGCAAATAGTACTGTAATCCTAGCACTTAGGAAGGCTGTGGTAGATTGAATTCCATATGGGCAATTTATTTATTTTATTTAATTTTATTTTTTTGCGGAGCCAGGGATTGAACTCAGCCCCTTGCACTTGCCAGGCAAGCGCTTATTCAACTGAGCTATTTCCCTGGCCTCCCCATATGGCAATTTAACAAAACAGTACACAGTGTTTTAAAAATAAACGAGGATGGGTATGTGTCAGTGGTAGAGTGCCTGGGGACAGATTCTGAGTACTGCAAAAGAACCTCAGCCTTTTTCCATAAAGATATGAATTTTAAAGCTTAAGCCCAAAATAGTGGCTCTCCAAAGGGTTGAAATATATTCCTATCTATAACAATCTCAAATCAGATATACAGGAAAAATGGTCAAAATGGATATGAACAAAAATATAGTATCTTGTAGTTTGCCTTTTCAAATGGAAATTTTTGTAGAGATTTGAAACAGGCATTGCAAAAGCACTAAGATTTTCGAATTACAGGCACACACACAAAATATCTCATACGTCCCAAGTCATTACAACTGCTAGAAATGTTTACAAAATATTCTGTAAGCTCAAATACTGAGTTGTTTTACTAAAAAATTAAGAGGGGACCAGGGAGATGGCTCAGTGGAATAAGCACTTCCCTGGCAAGCACAAGGACCTGAGTTCAATCCGCCAAAAAATAAATAAATAAATAAATAAATAAGAGTTAAAAAAAGTTTCACTAGACATGGACTCCTTATGCTGGCTCTTATTTCCGGCACCTGTGTGCCACAAACCGGATGTGTTTCCATATACTGTGCTGCTTTGAGCTATTAAGGGACAGCAATGTCTGTCCCTCTATTACTCTACAGAAAAATAATTTTTTATTTGAGCCTACAATACAGCATGTATTTTCCTTGTGGTTTTCATATGAACACAGTAGGATCCCAGTCTGGTGGCTTTATTAAAGGGGGCAGGGGTAGGAAAGTTTGCCCAGATTCTTCTCCCTTTTAAGTTGTTAGTAATTCAAGCCAGGAGCTTCATCTGAGAATTAGAGAAGACTGGGTTGGATACATTTCACCACATTCTAATATCTTAAAGACCAACAAGAATAAAACATGGGGAAAAGAATGAAAACTTGAGACAATAATGTTGAGATCAACTTCAGTTTTATTTTAAATTCACACTTATGCATTTATTTGCAAAAAATATACCTGTCCTTAACATTACTGCAATGTTACTTTAGTTTTAAAGTAGTGCATACAAATAAACAATTCAAGCTTCTACATATTTTGTTTCCAAGCTTCCACAGGACAGGTGTGCAAATGTCAGGTTTCTGGAATCTCCATGCACAAACTAAGCTAACAAAAAGGCTCAAATCACACAACATGCCTTAAGGAGAAACCTCAAATAATGCTTTTTCAAAATCGAACTTCAGAACTCATCTTTTATAGTTAAACTAGGTTGTTTTCCTTTCCTTTCACATGCATATACCAGGCTAAAGCCTTCCAACAATAGATCTACTTGGCACAAGGACATTTCAAAGAAACCAAAACAAAAGGGGGGAAAAAAAGAGAAAGGAAAAGAGGTTTACGCTGCTCTCGAGTAAGCGTTAGTCCACCTCTTCGATGGTGGGGCCCCCGGAGGCTCCGGGCCCCCCGCCGCAGCTGCCAGGGCCGCCTTGGTAAAGTTTGCTGATGATGGGGTTGCATACTCTTTCCAGCTCTTTCTGCTTGTGTTCGTACTCGTCTTTCTCCGCCATCTGGTTTCGATCGAGCCAGTTGATCACTTCCTGACACTTGCTGAGGATCTTGTTCTTATCCTGCTCGCTAATCTTGCCCCTCAGTTTCTCGTCTTCTACTGTCTGCTTGATGTTGTACGTGTAGGACTCCACCGCGTTTTTGGCTGCTACGCGGTCGCGATTAGCCTCATCTTCCGACTTGTACCGCTCCGCCTCTTGCACCATCCGGTCGATGTCGTCCTTGCTCAGACGACCCTTGTCGTTGGTGATGGTGATTTTATTTTCTTTACCGGTGCTCTTGTCGGCGGCGGTGACGTTGAGGATGCCATTGGCATCGATGTCGAAGGTGACCTCGATTTGAGGGACTCCGCGGGGTGCGGGGGGAATACCGGTCAGGTCGAACTTGCCCAGCAGGTTATTGTCCTTGGTCATGGCCCGTTCGCCCTCGTATACCTGCACCAGCACGCTGCTCTGGTTGTCCGAGTAGGTAGTGAAGGTCTGCGTCTGCTTGGTGGGGATCGTGGTGTTCCTCTTGATGAGCGGGGTCATGACGCCGCCGGCCGTCTCGATGCCCAGCGACAGCGGGGTCACGTCGAGCAGCAGCAAGTCCTGCACGTTCTCGGACTTGTCACCGATGAGGATGGCCGCCTGCACCGCCGCACCGTAGGCCACCGCCTCGTCGGGGTTGATGCTCTTGTTCAGCTCCTTGCCATTGAAGAAATCCTGTAGCAGCTTCTGGATCTTGGGGATGCGCGTGGAGCCGCCCACCAGCACGATCTCCTGGATCTGGCCCTTGTCCAGCTTGGCGTCGCGCAGCGCCTTCTCCACCGGCTCCAGGGTCCCGCGGAAGAGGTCCGCGTTGAGCTCCTCGAAGCGGGCGCGGGTGATGGATGTGTAGAAGTCCACACCCTCGTACAGCGAGTCGATCTCGATGCTGGCCTGGGTGGACGAGCTCAGGGTGCGCTTGGCGCGCTCACAGGCTGTGCGCAGCCGCCGCACCGCGCGCTTGTTGGGCACAATGTCTTTCTTGTGCTTGCGCTTGAACTCCTCGGCCAGGTGGCTGACCATGCGGTTGTCGAAATCCTCGCCGCCCAAGTGGGTGTCGCCGGCAGTGGACTTCACCTCGAAGATGCCGTCCTCGATGGTCAGGATGGACACGTCGAAGGTGCCACCGCCCAGGTCGAAGATGAGCACGTTCTTCTCGCCCCCCGCGCAGCCCTTCTTGTCCAGGCCGTAGGCGATGGCCGCCGCCGTGGGCTCGTTGATGATCCGCAGCACGTTGAGGCCGGTGATGGTGCCCGCGTCTTTGGTGGCCTGGCGCTGCGAGTCGTTGAAATAGGCCGGGACGGTGATGACGGCGCTCTGCACCTTGCCGCCCAGGTAGGCCTCAGCGATCTCCTTCATCTTCGTGAGCACCATGGAGGAGATCTCCTCGGGGAAGAAGGTCTTCATCTCCCCCTTGTACTCCACCTGCACTTTGGGCTTCCCTCCCTCGCTCACTACCCGGAACGGCCAGTGTTTCATGTCCGACTGCACGGTGGCATCCTCGAACTTCCGCCCGATCAGCCTCTTGGCGTCGAAGATGGTGTTGGTGGGGTTCATGGCCACTTGGTTCTTGGCCGCGTCGCCAATGAGGCGCTCGGTGTCGGTGAAGGCCACGTAGCTGGGGGTGGTTCGGTTGCCCTGGTCGTTGGCGATGATCTCCACCTTGCCATGTTGGAAGACCCCCACGCAGGAGTAGGTAGTGCCCAAGTCGATGCCGATGGCCGGGCCGCGGGCGCACATCTTGGGTGAAAGTGGGGCACGGACGTTAAGGCGAGAAAGCAGGGAGCGTCCGTCCGCGGGGTCAACTAACGGTCACCACTGTACTCCGCGAGCTCACCCAACTTCTCCCCGCTTCCTCCCGCCCAGCGCAGCGCTCTTATAACAGCCTCGCGGAAACTCCCACAACCAATCCACTCTCGGCTCCGCCCACACAAACTCCTCCAGCCCCGCCACAGGCCTGCCTGGGTCGGAGTGACGGGCTTCTGGTCCAACAGATATATTGTTGGGCGAGGGGCGGGACCAAAGCAGCCCTAGGGGTGGTCGTTATGCAAATGACCTTCCCCATAGAGCCCCCAGCTTGAGGGCGTTAGGCTCGCGCCTTGTACCAGGTGTTTAAACTTTACTAGCTTTGCCTTACCTAGAGCGCGATTCGTCAAGGTCCCTCGGATTGGCAGGATATCGGACCAATGACTAGCGCGGGCTCCTAAGGGCGGGTGGGATTGGCGAGTGGCGTGTGGAGGAGACAAGGAAGGGAAGTTGTGGGGCTTCAGCAGCCTGTTCTCCCGGCGCTGCGGGTATCAGGGGTTCGGTGTTGGTGTCCTGACCAACGCAGGACGCGGGAGAGGGGAAGTTCAGCCCGAGTTACACTGAATAAATAAGCCCGAGCCCACTCTTCCTTTGCCCGCGGTCCACGCTGAGGGCTCAGGCCTGGGCTGGGCGGGGACAAGAAGTGACCCGGGGCTTTCCCCCGAGGCCCAGAGCTGTGGCCTCTGGGTTGTTCGTGGCGACTTCGGCAGCGTCTCCGGCGAGCGCGGGAGGAGGCTCCAGACGCGAGGAGCCGGGAGAGGCCGGGCGATTTCCCGCGCCGCGGCCACACCCACTCCCCGCCTGCCTGCGCTTCGCCGTCCTGCTGTGCCGAGCTTCCGGGCTCCGCGTCCCCTCCGCCGCCGCGCGCGCTCTCCGCTTTCGGGGCTCCTCCGAGGCCTTTGCAGCCCTTCCTTAGCTGCAGCGCCCGCACGTCCTCCCCGCCCGCCGCGCCCCGTCTTCCTTCCCGGTGCCCGCGGAGGCCGGGGTCGGGAGCGCCGTCCGCCGCCCGGCGTCACGGGGTGGAGGGAGGGTTTGCAAAGCGGCGTCTGCGCCGCGGGACGGGGAGGACGTGGTCCGGGCGCTGGGCCGCCGGGGGAGGCGCTGACCCGGGCGGGAGACGCGGCGACTTCCCGGAGGGGCGAGCCCGAGTCATCCCTGCCAGGGTGAGAGGAGAGAAACGGTGGTCTGACCTCGGAGGTCGGTGAGCGCGACGGAGAGGGACGCGCAGGTCCGGACGCGGGCTGCAAACTTGCGGTGGCGCGAGGGGTGTGGCCGGCGACACCGGGAAGGGTCGGAGCGGCCTCCCCGAGAGCCGACCGCCTGAGCCCGCGCTGAAGTTCGCCCGCAAAGAGGGCCGGAAAAGCACACCGCTTTCCACCCTCACTCCTCACTGGGGATTGAACGCAGGACCTCAGATGTGAGCTACAACCAGGCCTTTTACAATCTGGTGACAATCTCCCCAAATCTCCACTTGGCCAGGCTGGGCTCGAGATTGTGAGCCTCTTGCTACCTGGCTAGGAAAGACACCCTTCCGTAGACACCCTTCCGTAGGCAGTGTAGGAATGTGGGTGAATCAGCGCGCCTAGAAAGGCGGGGTGACGGTGCAGGACGAGAAATTCTCTGCGGGTGGACCGGATGCACAGAGTTTTTTGTGCTGAGAACCTTCCTTGGGGTTGTGGGAGGGGAGAACCATCGCTTGAGGTAGGCTGAGTAATGTGTGTGTGGTCCGTATAAAATTGGTGCGAGTCGGTGACGGGAGAAGTTGAGAAACATACAAAGTACCTGCGTCCAAAAGGTAGAGTTGAGAGAACTCTGTAAATCAGTGAATACGAAGATTTTATCTAGTTGTGTATGTAACCTAGTTTTTAAAAACACACTTATTAATTTATTAATGTTACTGATTAAGTAATGTTGGCTTAAACCACAAATTCTGTCTTCCGTGAAAGCAAAGAAGAAAAGATCGAAGAAAAGATTTGAAATAGAGTAACATTTAAAAAGACAAAACAAAACTTTATAATGGAAGCTGGCATAAAGTGTGAGACTGATCTCTTGATATTTTTTCTTGGAAATTATTGTCTTGGGGGCTGCGGAGACAGCTCAGTAGAATAAGCGCTTGCCTCGCAAGGCTAAGGGCCTGAGTTCAATCCCTGGTTCCACCAAAAAATAAATAAATAAATAAATAAATAAATAAATACAAAGGAAATTCTTGTCCTATGTATTTTTTGTTGTTTTTGTTTTGTAGCTCTTTAAAATGGAATCATTGCTTTTTTTTTTTTTTGGTACTTGCCAGGCAGGTGCTTGAGTCACTGAGCTATATCCCTGGCCTCCTGAACTTCTATTTTACAGGAAAGAAATTTCTGTAGTAATACAACACCAGCACATTGATTACTCTTAAAATTTTTACATTTTTCTTATTTGCATTCATTTATTTTCTTTTTTCTTTTTCTTTTTCTTTTTTTTTTTTTTTTTGTCGGAACCAGGGATTGAACTCAGGCCCTTGCACTTGCCAGGGAAGCGCTTATTCCACTGAGCCATCACCCTGGCCCCGGCATTCATTTCTAAAATTTTATTTTTTTATAATTCTGTCTCAGAATTCATTAAAAACATAATCTATTAAAATGATCAAGGGGCTGGGGATACAGCTCAGTGGCAGGAGCGCCTGCCTGCCAAGCACAAGGTCCTGAGTTCAATTCCTGGTGCCAAAAAAATAAAGAGCTGGGGAGGTAGCGCCATAGAATAAGCACCTGCCTGGCAAGCGCAAGGTCCTAAATTCAATTCCAAGTACCACAAAATAAATAAAAAAATAAAATTTTATCCATTCATGCCATGAATAGTGCAGTAAAACAAACCATACCAGTAAGAATGTCAAGTAATATAATCCTTTGTGACAATGTATTTTGTATACCTTAAATAGGATCAGAACCCTAAGATTAGTCTTGGTGGGACTGACTTTAAGGAAGTGATAGAAAATGCAAGTAATATTAATGTTAGTAACAATAAAAAGAAATAGTTTAAATATCCAATGATAAGAAAATGATTATATTAATTTTAGTACATGCGTATCAATGTACCATTATGCAGCTATAGAAGTTGTTTCCAAGATTTTTGTTTTCTTTTTTCCAACACTAATTCTTTTTTAATTTTTTTTTCTTTTTTGTTTCCAAGATTTTTAATGACACAAAAAATTGTTCTTAATTACATGAAAAAAAGATATACAACTTTACTATGTTCTTTTGGGTTTTTTGGGTGGTACCAGGGATTGAACTTAGGACCTTGCACTTGCCAAGCAAGTGCTTATTCTACTGAGTCATCTCCCTGACCTTACTATGTTCTTATCCTATATGTAGAATAATTTTACATGTGTGAAAAATACATCAAAATCAGTGGTGGGACTATCAGTAATTTTTCTTTTTCTTTTTTTTTTTTTTTGTGGAACCGGAGATTGAACTCAGGCCCTCATGCTTGCCAGGGAAGCGCTTACTCCACTGAGCCATCTCCCTGGCCCCACTATCAGTAATTTTTCTAAGCTCCTTTATTTATACTTTTACAGATCTTTTTGAATTTTTGAGTCAGTGTCTTGTGACATAGTTAAGGTGGGTCTTGAACTCACTGTGTAGCCAAGTCCGGCCTTGAATTCATGGTGATCCTCCTGCTTCAGCCTTCCCAGTGCTGGGATTATATACATATGCCACTATGTTTGGCTGCAGATTTTTAAAATGACTATTAATGTTCAGTTGAAAAAAAATTCACTAGTCCTATCACATACATAAAAATTGATATTGGGCTGGTGAGATGGCTCAGTGGTCTAAAGCACCTACTTAGAACAAGCTTAGCAAAGCACATGGACCGCAGTTCAATCCCCTAGCACCACATGCCAGCCAGCCCCACCCCTCTGGTGGGCTGAGCTGGCCACACACACACAATAAATAAATTAATTAATTAAATAAATTTAAAAAAATTGATATTGATTTTCCACAAGGGAAATCTATTTTATGGATTATAAACATTGACATATTAAAAAATTTTTTTTAATCCAATGAATTAAAATTAGGGGGCTGGGGAGATAGCTCAGTAGAATAAGTGCTTGCCTAGCAAGGGCAGGGTCCTGAGTTCAATCCTCAGTACCTTTAGATAAATAAATAAATCCAATGAATGAGGTTTCATACAGATTAAATGGTAGAAAAGAACAAGTGCTTTATTAACTTTACTGGCCAGTAGAGCACTCAGAACACATTAGTAAGTCACTAGTTGAATGTTAGGGTTTTTTTTTGGGGGGGGGGCAGGGAGGGCAGGGCTGCTGGAGCATTTACCAAAGTCCTCAGGTATGCAAAGCAGAGACTCTACAACTGGACGATAGCCCTGGATCTCTCAATACTTATTAACAGTGACCTGAAGTGCTTTATTTATTTATGTATTTGGTACAGGGTCTCACTGCACAGCTCAGACCTGCAGTGATCCTCTTGTTTTCAGTCTCCCAGTGCTAGGATTAGAGGTGTGCCACCATGCCAGGTCTCGCTGGCTGACTCAGCATGCCCGAGGGCAGGGCTAGCACGGCATGCGGTACCAGGGATTGAACCTGGGCACTTAGTCAGCTGAGCCATCCCACTGGCCCTTGAAGTACATTATTTAAATTTAAAAAAGCCATAAGTAGCAACTTCATCTTCTGGTAGAAGGAAGATCCCTGGCTACCTCTTATTTTTCTGTACTAAATGACACTGCAGAGATCAAAAATTGATAAGAAATTTACATGTGGAAATACCTGTACCAGAACTACAAAGATGAATGGGATGAGGTCTAAAACCCTGTGTGTGGGGATTCAGGCCTCCCTGGAGAAGACCAGCTGAACAAGAATAAATTTTCCCGGAATTAGGAAACTATTTGTGTATTTTCCTGGACTCCTCTCTCATCGTCCAGGCACGATCTTTGCCAAGGTTGTGAATTGTTTTGAGGAATACTGGCTTGGAGAGAAGGTAGAAGAGCACCCGCCGATAATGGGAGCACCTTCTAGCAAATGAGTGTAAGTAACGAGTACATTTTATTGGGATCTCTATAGGCCAGGTGTGGAGGCTCACGCAGGTAATCCCAGCACTTGGGAGGCAAAATTATCCTGAGTTCAAGGCCATTCTGAACTACTACGTATAGAGACCTTGTCCAAAAACCTGGAAAAGCTTCTATAAACACTGCCATTTTATAATTCTTTGAAAGTGCCCTGCTTTTTTTTTTTTTTTTTTTTTTTTTGTCTTTTTTTGAGACAGGGTCTCAATAGGCAGCTCAGGCTGGACTTCAGCTCACTTTGTAGCCCTCGCTGGTCTCCAGTTCACAGCAATCCTCCTGCCTTGGCCTCCTGAGTGCTGGGATTACAGACATGTGCCGCCACTTGGCTGAAAGTGCCCTGTCTTCAAGTAAAATTTTCAATCAGTAATTTTTACTTCCTTACTGTGCTTTAATAGTTAACTTTAAAATAATAATAATAATTTTTTTAAATTTATTTATTTGTGTGTGTGTGTGTGTGTGGCCAGCTCAGCCCACTAGAGGGCGGGGCTGGCTGGCATGTGGTGCTGAGGGATTGAACCGCGGTCCATGTGCTTTGCTAAGCTTGTTCTAAGTAGGTGCTTT